GGGGGGGGGGGGGTTCTTTTTTAGGGGAGTATGGTGTCAAAATTGCTGATTTTGGCTCTTTCGGATTTAGACTTGGCATATGTTCTCTCAAGAGCATTCATGTCAGTGGAAAATATGATGGAATATTCAATCTACAAAATTCTGATTTTTTCTAATTTGTCCTGTGGACTTGGTTGGTCTGCTTACGTACATGTTTATATATTTCATCTGAATAAAAGGATTATATCAAGATGCAACTTATAAAAGGTGAATGATCCCTACTTTTTAAAGGTTGGTGCTCAATGTCCGAAATCATTTGGTTGAGCTTTGAATCCTAATATTGGGCCTTAGGATTCGTATGTTACGTCAGTTCAGGATTACATAATATAAACATTTGTAGTGGTCAGAAAGATGATTTGATCAAGGATTGGGTTTCATTTTGACATGTCCTGAGCATACAATATTTCCGTTCAGGAGTGAATCTGCACAAAGCAAGTATTACTGATTTTTTTTTTTAATACAACAAATAGCCCGCGAGACATTTTCTTCATCAGGTTGGAAAGTTCATGCGTCGTATGCTTTCTGTAATACAATAGTTTGCTTTCTGTAAATGACTTGATTCTGAGCTTTCTTCCATAAAATCACAGTACCATAGAAAAAATAAAATAAAACCTTCAAAGAACAAAGGAAGAGGGAGAGATGATAGCCAAACCGCCACTATCGATTATTTACCATAACTCATAGATAGCATTAGTGGTCATATAGATAGCATTAGTGCTCATAGATAATAATACTACGGAAGCAACCTAAGAAAGAAAATGCAACGAGTACATTCATTAAGCAGCGAACTCGATCTTGGCACCAGCAATGGTCACATCATCGCCTCCAAACTTGGGCACCAAAGTGACCAGCACAGCATCATCATCTTCAGCTTCTAAGTCCTCCAACAGCTCACTCAGTCCCAACCTCAGGCAAGTATTGATCTTCATGTTACTACCACCCTCATGTTTATGAGGCAAGTTCGCAAAACTTCCGGCGTACTCCGTTTTGTCCAGTCCAATCCCAGTCTCATCTTCATCGTTCACAAACACATCAAACTTCACATACTTGTCGCTATCCAACTCAATCCCTTCTATCACCAGTATCTCCTCTTGTTCTTCCTTCTCCTCGGAGCTTCTTGATTTCTTCGACCTCTTGACCAGAAACTTTATTGTTTTGTCAAGGGTTACAGGGAAGGCACTAAGAGTGGCGGGTTCAACAGTTTTCGCCACTTTGGACTTCTTCACTCTCGGCACTGGCTTGTTCTTCAGCCATGGAATAGGCATAGGTTGATAAACGTAACCGAGCTTGGTGTTCTCACAGCAATCTTTGACCTTAACCCTCACAGGCTGAGCTTCTTCATCGTAGAAGAGGAACGAAGAGTTTAACCAATCTGGGTCTGCGAAATCAGTGCGATGTTTGCCTCCTAAAGTCCTCCATAGAGTCCACATTCGATCAACGTTGGCATGGTGGCAGTAGAACATAGTGTCTCGACCAGCTGAGTAGAAGTTTCCCATGTCCTCCCTATTTCTCCGATTTGGGTCACCAACCCACATGTGCACCGGAATGTGAGGAGTTGTTTCGATGGACCCTGCTCCGGGACCGGGCTTATCTCCGGCACTGTAAGGGCTTCCAAGAAAGAGCAGAGGAGTGGTGCTATTAGTGATCATTTGCCGGTACATTATCGTCAGATTATTGATCACTTTCTGCAGATCAGTTGTATCAGACTTATCCTTGCCGTTGTAACCCAGATCGATAATGTTCGGTGGCAGGTGACCGGCGTTGCGATATTGGTCATACAGGGATGAGTTCGGATCAACGAGCATGGCCGGCATTGTCATGCCTGCGGGATTGTCCCAGTTCCAAAACGGCAAAGCGAAAGTCGGATCTCCGATCAATTTTCCGAGGATTTTCTCGTAGAAGTACAAATACCATCTGTGAAAGGGAAAGAAAAGCCATGAGTTGTGAACTTGAAGCTTAAGGTCTGGAAAACCTACTTGTTCATAGGCACCATTGCAATAAGCGCAATGGACATTTGCTTGCTGTATGAAGTTCCGTGGGTCGTCCTCTGGAAGGGCCTTCATGAGTTCAATGGCTTTGGAAAACTTTGCTATATATTCTTTGCTCACTAAGTGAGCAGCTGGTCTCACACGCATTGGTTGAGACCTAGGAAGCTTATAGTCCACAACGTTCGTCGCCGTTGGGGGGCAACAGGTATTGTTTATTAGAACTGCCTCCTCCGGCAAGTCGGTCGGACTGCCACATTTTGTAATTTCAGGTGCCTGCACCGGAGCAGCCATAGCTAATGGATCAGAGACTAGGTTGACGGCACCATAGAGTCCTCCTAGTCCAAGTAGCACATTCCTCCTATCAAACTTCCCTTGAAAAGTTTCTCCATTGTTAGTGTCTTGGTCACCATCTTTGGTTTTACATGAGACTTCAAACCGATGGTAACGTTTTCCAGTGATGAGAGATTTGGATGGCTTAGCAAAGAAAGGCCAAGAAGAAAAGGTGAATGAGGAGGAGGAGGAATAGTAGGCGGTGGTGATGGTGGTTAGGGGAAGAGAAGCCATGGTGTTGTATTTGTGTGTCACCATGAAGCAACTGCACTATGGTTATATAGTGAATTAGAGACCTCCCGTGACCCATTGAAATAGTTTTGGGTGAGTTATACACACCAAAGTGTTGTGTGCAGCCAATAAAGAGCTGCCACAACACTAGTTTGTGAGTGGTAGTAATTGATTTTTTTTAAAAAAAAAATATATGACAAAGTGATATAATTATGCATTAAACTTGAGGGTAGATCAAATAATAAGAGAAATGATTTATAAATTCAAATGTCTTGAGTTTGAATTTTGACAATCTCTCGTGACCAGAGAGATAAATTTTTCATGAATACATTAATCCCAGTTAATGACNCAAACTATTTGCATTTTCAGTACACCAATGAAGGGCCATAACCCATCTATGTGAATAGTAGAAGTGCAGTACTAAAAAGAATTTGGGTGTCACAGACACACACACACACACTTGGACTGGAACTTGAACACCATATATTCTCTTCAGTAATGTTAGATTGACTAAATTTTGGAATCAAATTTAAAGCCCAAACGACATAGCAATTGACTTGGACTTCTTTAATTGATGTCATGTCATTTGGATCCCAATAAAAACTTCAAAATAATCAACTGCCATGTCATTTGGGTTCTAAATTTTGTCTCAAAATTTGGTCAGTGTAGTATTACTCTATTCTTTTTTTTTTTTTTTTGGGGGGGGGGGGGGGTTTTTTTTTTGGGGGGGAGGGTTTCAAAATTTGTTTGGAGGGAGGNGGGGGGGGGGGGGTTCTTTTTTAGGGGAGTATGGTGTCAAAATTGCTGATTTTGGCTCTTTCGGATTTAGACTTGGCATATGTTCTCTCAAGAGCATTCATGTCAGTGGAAAATATGATGGAATATTCAATCTACAAAATTCTGATTTTTTCTAATTTGTCCTGTGGACTTGGTTGGTCTGCTTACGTACATGTTTATATATTTCATCTGAATAAAAGGATTATATCAAGATGCAACTTATAAAAGGTGAATGATCCCTACTTTTTAAAGGTTGGTGCTCAATGTCCGAAATCATTTGGTTGAGCTTTGAATCCTAATATTGGGCCTTAGGATTCGTATGTTACGTCAGTTCAGGATTACATAATATAAACATTTGTAGTGGTCAGAAAGATGATTTGATCAAGGATTGGGTTTCATTTTGACATGTCCTGAGCATACAATATTTCCGTTCAGGAGTGAATCTGCACAAAGCAAGTATTACTGATTTTTTTTTTTAATACAACAAATAGCCCGCGAGACATTTTCTTCATCAGGTTGGAAAGTTCATGCGTCGTATGCTTTCTGTAATACAATAGTTTGCTTTCTGTAAATGACTTGATTCTGAGCTTTCTTCCATAAAATCACAGTACCATAGAAAAAATAAAATAAAACCTTCAAAGAACAAAGGAAGAGGGAGAGATGATAGCCAAACCGCCACTATCGATTATTTACCATAACTCATAGATAGCATTAGTGGTCATATAGATAGCATTAGTGCTCATAGATAATAATACTACGGAAGCAACCTAAGAAAGAAAATGCAACGAGTACATTCATTAAGCAGCGAACTCGATCTTGGCACCAGCAATGGTCACATCATCGCCTCCAAACTTGGGCACCAAAGTGACCAGCACAGCATCATCATCTTCAGCTTCTAAGTCCTCCAACAGCTCACTCAGTCCCAACCTCAGGCAAGTATTGATCTTCATGTTACTACCACCCTCATGTTTATGAGGCAAGTTCGCAAAACTTCCGGCGTACTCCGTTTTGTCCAGTCCAATCCCAGTCTCATCTTCATCGTTCACAAACACATCAAACTTCACATACTTGTCGCTATCCAACTCAATCCCTTCTATCGCCAGTATCTCCTCTTGTTCTTCCTTCTCCTCGGAGCTTCTTGATTTCTTCGACCTCTTGACCAGAAACTTTATTGTTTTGTCAAGGGTTACAGGGAAGGCACTAAGAGTGGCGGGTTCAACAGTTTTCGCCACTTTGGACTTCTTCACTCTCGGCACTGGCTTGTTCTTCAGCCATGGAATAGGCATAGGTTGATAAACGTAACCGAGCTTGGTGTTCTCACAGCAATCTTTGACCTTAACCCTCACAGGCTGAGCTTCTTCATCGTAGAAGAGGAACGAAGAGTTTAACCAATCTGGGTCTGCGAAATCAGTGCGATGTTTGCCTCCTAAAGTCCTCCATAGAGTCCACATTCGATCAACGTTGGCATGGTGGCAGTAGAACATAGTGTCTCGACCAGCTGAGTAGAAGTTTCCCATGTCCTCCCTATTTCTCCGATTTGGGTCACCAACCCACATGTGCACCGGAATGTGAGGAGTTGTTTCGATGGACCCTGCTCCGGGACCGGGCTTATCTCCGGCACTGTAAGGGCTTCCAAGAAAGAGCAGAGGAGTGGTGCTATTAGTGATCATTTGCCGGTACATTATCGTCAGATTATTGATCACTTTCTGCAGATCAGTTGTATCAGACTTATCCTTGCCGTTGTAACCCAGATCGATAATGTTCGGTGGCAGGTGACCGGCGTTGCGATATTGGTCATACAGGGATGAGTTCGGATCAACGAGCATGGCCGGCATTGTCATGCCTGCGGGATTGTCCCAGTTCCAAAACGGCAAAGCGAAAGTCGGATCTCCGATCAATTTTCCGAGGATTTTCTCGTAGAAGTACAAATACCATCTGTGAAAGGGAAAGAAAAGCCATGAGTTGTGAACTTGAAGCTTAAGGTCTGGAAAACCTACTTGTTCATAGGCACCATTGCAATAAGCGCAATGGACATTTGCTTGCTGTATGAAGTTCCGTGGGTCGTCCTCTGGAAGGGCCTTCATGAGTTCAATGGCTTTGGAAAACTTTGCTATATATTCTTTGCTCACTAAGTGAGCAGCTGGTCTCACACGCATTGGTTGAGACCTAGGAAGCTTATAGTCCACAACGTTCGTCGCCGTTGGGGGGCAACAGGTATTGTTTATTAGAACTGCCTCCTCCGGCAAGTCGGTCGGACTGCCACATTTTGTAATTTCAGGTGCCTGCACCGGAGCAGCCATAGCTAATGGATCAGAGACTAGGTTGACGGCACCATAGAGTCCTCCTAGTCCAAGTAGCACATTCCTCCTATCAAACTTCCCTTGAAAAGTTTCTCCATTGTTAGTGTCTTGGTCACCATCTTTGGTTTTACATGAGACTTCAAACCGATGGTAACGTTTTCCAGTGATGAGAGATTTGGATGGCTTAGCAAAGAAAGGCCAAGAAGAAAAGGTGAATGAGGAGGAGGAGGAATAGTAGGCGGTGGTGATGGTGGTTAGGGGAAGAGAAGCCATGGTGTTGTATTTGTGTGTCACCATGAAGCAACTGCACTATGGTTATATAGTGAATTAGAGACCTCCCGTGACCCATTGAAATAGTTTTGGGTGAGTTATACACACCAAAGTGTTGTGTGCAGCCAATAAAGAGCTGCCACAACACTAGTTTGTGAGTGGTAGTAATTGATTTTTTTTAAAAAAAAAATATATGACAAAGTGATATAATTATGCATTAAACTTGAGGGTAGATCAAATAATAAGAGAAATGATTTATAAATTCAAATGTCTTGAGTTTGAATTTTGACAATCTCTTGTGACCAGATAGATAAATTTTTCATGAATACCTTAATCCCAGTTAATGACTTGCTTTTGACCAGTGACAAAAAAATTAGTCAAAATATAGGCATAAATTGGTATAGATACACTAGATTGTTGAACTAAAAGAAAAATTATACATTAAGAACATACAATATTTTATCAGTAATGCTNTTTTGACCAGTGACAAAAAAATTAGTCAAAATATAGGCATAAATTGGTATAGATACGCTAGATTGTTGAACTAAAAGAAAAATTATACATTAAGAACATATAATATTTTATCAGTAATGTTAGACTGACCAAATTTTTAGACTAAATTTGGAGCCCAAATGACATGACAGTTGATTTGAGTTTCTTTGATTGGTGTTATGTTATTTGGGTCCCAATAAAAATTTCAAATAATCAACTGTCATGTCATTTTGACTCAAAATTTAGTCCCAAAAATTGATCGGCGTAACATTACTCATATTTTATACATACCAACAAATTTCTCCACAAAATTGTCAAATTTTGAAATATTAGCTGGTAAAGGACAAACCATTTATCACATGCATTTATTGGTATTCCTTTCTAGAGTTAAATTTCAGGAGCAAAATCAAAGGCAGGACTGAATGCTTTTAAACATGTACCAATTGAAGAAGATGATTGTGACCCATCAATATAATTGCAAATGATCCTAGGTACTATATATACTATGCTGTTAGTCCAGTACCCTTTTCTACGTAAAGTTAAAGGTCCGCATCGTAAAATGATAGAGTGGTTTGATTGGTGACAACATAAAGTAAGAAAATAATTATTATTTAAACTTAATTTTGAGATATAATATAAGGACTTAATTCAATATAACTGTTAAATTAAAAGTGGACTACGCTTAATATTAGAACTTATAGTTAACGGTCTGTTGGAAGTCGATATACCAAATTAGATATAATTATAAAAAAAAAATAAATAAAAAAAGTTTTGAAAAGAAGTACACTGTTGAGAACTAAAGACGTAATTGTCTATTTTGTAAAAAAAAATTTTCTAAAAATTGTAATAAGGAATTTTACTTTTTTTTTTTTTTTTTTTGATATGGAACGGTGTACTTTATTTGAAACTAAAATTGAGCATCGTTCCAGAGAAGAGGGTCCAAAAATTCTGGACGTTCCCCTCTCCAAAAAACCGGATTATTACAATGAATAACAAAATGCGATAACTTATCTGCCACACCATTAGACGAACGCCTCACCCAGCAAGCATGAAATTCATGGAAGTGTATAGCAATCTTCTGAATCTGCTCAATGAAAACTTCATGGCTAGACAGATTTGATTCCTCCCTCATAATATCCTCCACAACTACTTTAGAATCCCCTT